TGGCACTGTCTGCAAACTTAGTGAGGGGGCACTCGATCCTCTCATCCATATCACTGATAAATATATGAAACACAACTGGCTCCGATACTGAGCCCAAGGAACACCACTTGAACATCTTTTAAATCACACAAGTCCTCAGCATCCAAAAGACTATGTTTTACCCATGTGCTGCAGTAGTTCTGTCTGCACGAAGTACATCAAACAGGTAGAGCTCCTTCAGAAGCCTCTCGCTCTCTTCCGCAGCTTCTTCGGGAGACGGCGCCTGGAATCAGACATATGCACGTAGCACACAGACTAATACAGCTGCAGTGAGGGAACCATTACTTCCTGTCTGATATCGAGCTGTAATGATCACTGAGTGATCTCAGAACTAGCAAAGATCACATACAAGAAATAACAGTCTCAGGCATTTTGAAGTTCAAAAGAAGTTATTTCTCAAGTGATTAAATTGAATCCCTTGGATTTTATGCCAGCTCAGGAGAAATCCTCAGCAAGTATACAGCTATGACAACTCTCAAATTTCACATCTTGAAATCTCAGTAGAGATGTTCTGTTGAAGGTGAGAACAAGCAGCTCAAGTGCTTTCTGTAAAGTGAATATATTTACCTTATGGAAATATATATATCCTTGTGTCAGCTCATCTGAGCCTTCTCCTGAAAAAATGACCACACTGTCTGTTTTCTTCCGTATGTATTTGGAAACAAGATACATGCCTTAAAAAAAAAAAAAAAAAGTTATTAAAATACAGCTACATGTGTGATGCTATATAGAGACAGTACAGTTTAAATTTCACATTATGGAAGTTTCTGTCCTATATGGCTTTCTTCTGTAGCAAAGAACTGCACTATATTAAAATAACATCTCGTTGGTATTCAAAGCCATCGACAGCCACCCCACCTGCGCGCTGCAAATACATCTGAACTGCGTACTTATACTTCACCCTCAAAATATGAGAAAGATGTGTGTGTCTGGGATCCTGGGAATGCTGGCAGATTCCCGTGGGAACACATATAGGTGCTCCTCTGACTCAGTTTGAAATTAAGCACGTGATTAATTCCAGTAAAGACCTGAACAAACCTTCTAGCTCTGGAGAACAAAACGACCAGCAAAAGTTGCTGATTAACTCTCTGTCACTGTGGGTTGAACTGGATGAAGCCTTTTCTTTTTTTAAGGATTATTTATCAGAATTATTATCAGAATTATTATCAGAATTATTATCAGAATTATGCCTTCCTCTCATTCCATCTTTCCAAACAGTATGTTTTGATAACAGAAGTATTAGAGATCTAACAAAAAGAATCTAGTTCATTACTTCTTATACTAAGCTGCAATCACAAAGATGACAGATGAAAAGTTGGCTTTATTTTTTTTTTACAAGAAACCCTTCCACTATTTCACGACGTCTTATTTTCATGTACAAATTCCACTCAGGGACTAGGGTTTCCAAGACTGTGTTGCCTATCTGGCTTATTAACTTTTCTTACAGTGTTTTAGGCTGACACAAGATTAACTGGGTAAAATGTCATAGCTGGCATTACACAGAAGGTCACATTAGATTAGTTTTTCATTCTTATCAGGCTGTCAATCCTTTGAAAGAAGCTGCTGCTGACTTCCTTCATTTCTCAGAATCAACCATAAGAAGTCTACCTAGCTTGAGTGCACCTGTTACTAGAGGGTGACAAGAAACACTTCACTTTAATACTAAAATTACACAAGGAATAGGGTAATCAAAATTGTTTTGCTATCATAACATTCAGTACCTCAGATAACCTATAAATCTTCCCCCTTCCTCCACGATTCATACTTATCAGAGCAGAAAACCTAGACCTGTAGATCTAATGTTTCTTCTTCATATAACATTTGTTTTTCTCCCCCAAGAATCAGGAACAGCTCTTGACAATTGTTTTGTACAGTCGGCAACTTTGAAACTAGTAAGTATTTTTGCCTCAGTGTGGTATCACAGACAAGACTGGTGAGCAGAACTTGGGTGTCCCAGTTCCCAGGTTCTGTGACAGCTAAAGGATCCAATAGATGACTACATGATCTTGCATAAGATTTTATTCAGGCGACATAAGGCAAAGATTGCTATTAGAAAAATCTTACCAATTGAAGCTCTTATTGTTGTTATATCATAGGTTTCCAAGGAGAAGATAACCTCCTCTATTGCCTGAATTCCCTCTTCAGAATTAAATATCACTTCATGATGTTCACTGCCTATATGTGCTGCTACCTGTTTGTAAAAGCTCACATTAGTGTATTGCTTTTTATTTAGAACATTTTTTAAACACACATTATGTTTAAAACATGCACATTGTGTGAAAGCAACAGCTCCCTTCTGCCACAGTGAGAATTATATGACATTAGGCCAAGGAAAGACAACACTCTAGCAGCCCCTCTGACTTGCAGGGTTACATGCACCAGAGGGAACATAGTCTTCCTAATTAGTGTTCAATCCTGATTACAACAGACCATCCAGCCACTTGCCCAAAGTTTAACAGAATCTCTAGAGGCTCTAGAAACCCTGGATATTTTCCCTGAGGAGAAAAAGCAGCTCAAAAGCCATGACAGCCTGGATATCTAAAGGGTACCCCAGGTGCCAAACTTTTTGTACAAGGCTCTGAATTCAGTAAACTGACTATTAACTTAGAACATTTAACATTTATACAAATACCATAACATAGGAAGCATAGCATGGAAATTTAGCCTAAAACTCAGAGGCAGAATTGAGACAACTCCGAAGTACTGTCCTTTTGGCAATAATGCAATGGGAGTCTGTCGTAAAAGTCTTTCAAATGAGCAAAATAACTTTTGCTCAGTTATCTGTTTTGCAAGATTTAACTTAGCAGCAAATATTGTACTACATGATCTGCTGCAAACTGATTTACATCACAGCAATACATGAATATTCAGCGTTACTATTAATACCACATGATGAAGTTAGCACCATTAAAATACACTGTACAGCATCCAGCAGCTCAGAACAAACCGAAAGCAACGCTTACTATACCTTTCTGGCAGCCAGTAAGTCAGGGCTATTTTCCATTCCAATTGCAAAGGTTTGTAATGGATAATTGATGTCGATTTCTTTCATCAGTTTCAGAAGAACAGCTGCAACCAAGCTGGAATCTAAGCCCCCTGCCAACAAAACAAATTATTTGGTTAGGTCTTTGACTGGGTTTCTGTTTCCCTTTATGGACACCAGATCTAGATACTGGAGTCGCATGAGTGGGCTTCATTTTCAAGCCAAGTGAATCCAAAGTACTTCTTGTACAAACGCACGTTTACCTCTGGTTAACAAGGGAATCGGGCAACTTTAGAGGAACATCTTCAGTAACAGTTGTTAGTACTTTTGGTGTCAAATGCATTAGTGAAAGTCCTTCTTTAAGATACACAGAAAGTGTTTTGTAGTGCTATAATGTTTTCAGAACACGCCCCTTCTCAACTCTGCTATAAGGAGATTTACTCTCCATTTCAAGACTGCTTTTTATCCTCTTCTTACCTACACATTTGATACTCCACTGACAGAACTATGTAATTTTCTATTTTGGTTTGCTGTTTGAATAAAATGAATTAAGCAAAAGAACAGAACATTTAGCATAAGGAATTTTTATTTTTAATCATTTTTCAATCAATCATTTTTCAAGTTTATTTCACACATCTGAAGTGGAATTAATTTTTTAAACAACACTTCCAAGTGAAAAGGTTCACTAATGACATGCTTTTTTTTTATTCTCTCCTTTCTCAAAGGAAGACAGTGGAAGGATTTGAACAGTTTGGAAGACAAATGAAAAATAAAATCAGGAGGTGCACAAGGTACCCAGATGTACTCTAAGGCTCCACCTTCTTATTCTTGTGAGACAGTTCTGCTAATTCTTGACTAGTCGTACTTGCTGCTCCCCTTTGAAGTACTAAGCAAAACAGAGTGCCTGTTCTCTCACACCTGCCTGCAGTTCTGGCAAGCATGAAGCAAAGTCTTCTCTGTTTCCCATAGTCTGCTTGTGGTTTTTCAGCCAAGTGCATTAGCATCCACTCCCACCTTCATCTCCTTTGTGGGAATGCTACCTTGGAAAAAACCAAAACCTCTCCCTCTGTAAAAATTACATGCAGAGTCTGAGAAAAGGAGAGCACAGAAATCAAACTGAGTACTTAGGATGTGGAAATCTAGTAAATCAAACCGAGTTTCCACTGTGAGGCTGCAGAACTCCCTCCATGACTAAAACCAAAAGCACTTCTCCAACTGTGATGCTCCAAGCATACTCAAAATTGTAAAGCACTGAGATACACTCATATTATATCAGCACACGCACTTGCTTTTGCTACTAATACTGCATGTGAGACTGAGGAGCTGCCAACAGCCTTCTAAGTTGATACCTGAATTTTGGGTTTAGAATGGGCTTTTTACTGAGACTGGGATCTTCCAACTCTGCATATCTGTTTCATTTACCTCTCTCCTACTTTTCATGATGCCACAGTGAGGAAACGGTCCAACAGTATCTCCTAGTGTAATGGTTTAATCTCAGACAGCAACTAAGTACCACACAGCTGCTCACTCACTTCCCTATCCAGCAACCTAATCTTGGTCTTCTGCGTGACAGGTGGGGATAGTTACCACTATTAACACTAGCCCAACTAAGACGAGCAGTTTCTCTTTCATTCAAATGCACATTTAATAGGGTTCATAATAAATCACTGTCATTACTGATGTTCAAAGCCAACTGTATCCTGGGATGTATCAAAAGAAGTGCGACCAGCAGGTCAAGGGACGTGATTTTCCCCCTCTGCTCTGCTCTTGTGAGACCCCTCCCGGAGTATTGTGGACAGCTTTGGAGCTCTCAACATAAGCATATCAACTGGTTGGAGCGAGTACAGAAGAGGCCACGAAGATGATCAGAGGGCTGGAGCACCTCTCCTATGGGGGCAGGCTGAGAGAATTGGGCTTGTTCAGCCTGGAGAAGAGAAGGGTCCGTAGAGACCTTATTGCAGTCCTTCAATACTTAAAGGGGGCTTACAGGAAAGATGGAAACAGACTTTTTAGTAAGGCCTGTTGAGATAGGACAAGGGGCAATGGTTTTAAAATAAAAAGAGGGCAGATTTAGACTAGATAGAATGAAGAAATTTTTTACCATGAGGGTTGTGAAGTACTGGCGCAGGTTGCCCAGAGAGGTGGTAGATGCCCCATTCCTAGAAACATTCAAGGTCAGGCTGGACAGGGCTCTGAGAAACCTGATCTAGTTGAAGATGGCCCTGCTCATTGCAGGGGACTGGACTAGATGACCGTTAAAGGTCCCTTCCCACCCAAGCCATTCTATGGTATCAGCAGTCTAGCTACAAGTGCGAAGTGCTACAAAAACACAGTAAATCAGATGTCAGTCCCATGGCCACAAAGCCTTACTTATGTAAAGCACCTCTGTAACACTCATCCGGTAGCAGCCAATTCTGTGAACAACTTCTTGTACCAAAAACTATTACTTCACCTGAAAAAAAAAGTGTAGCAAGTCCAGATTTTGGTTCAGATGCTCCCCTATAATTTCGTGAATCATGGGCAGTCTAGAATTGGGGCTAAAGCAAAGCCGCTGACCAGTAAGAACTTCAGTTCCTCCTGCTCACTGAACATGCTAAGGCCTTTTTACCATGTTCACTCAGTGTACAGTGAATGTAATAATTACATTTTCTTTTTAGACACCGACCTAAGCATAAATGTTACAATGTTTAAGAGTATATTGGGTGATTTTTAGGTAACAGTATTGATTTCTTAGACAAAAAATGGTCAGTGTCTCAACAAGCCAACAGCCCATCCCAGAGTAAACTTTAAAAGTGTAAGTCCTGCCAACTGGAAAACTTTTATCACAAACAATTTCTCTCCAACTAAAAAGCTACGGAAGATCCAGATCACTTCAGGCATGTCACAGCAGAACAGCCACCATACTTTCCTCTAACTGGTAGATTATGGGTGAGAGAAAAGACAAAAACTGTGATTCTTGCTACTTACCTGACAAGAGACAACCAATCCTTCTGTGAGCCATCAAGCGTTTTCTGACAGCATTTTCAAACAGAATACGGATGTTGCTTTTTACTGTTTCAAGATCAAAGCCTGTCCAGAAAAGAAGGGGGGAAAAAAACCCACCACCCAAGAAGTGTTGCTTAGACTTTGCTGGATTATGTGATTAGGAAAAAGATATTTGTTTGAATTTCCTTTGACAACAAGAGCATGCAAGCTCAAATTTCTTTGTACATGACTGCCTACAAAAACAATTCTGAAGTTGCTACATTATAAATATTCTCTCAGTTGTTTTTTTTTCTTTAAATGGCACTTTTTAAAAAACAATCAGTACAAATTTTATATTCAAAGATTGTGGTTTTTTCACTTTTTAATCAGAGTAAGTAGCAAACGCTTTGCTGTACTACCTGAAGGCAGATTTTCCACTGTATCACACGCAGCATGGAGTGGTTCATCTTTATAGCTATGAAATTTTACTAATTCCACTGACGCAACCTTGCCAGAGGGCTTTAAATCCAACACTTCGTAATGACCCGGGAGAAACGGTTCCACTTTAGGACATATGGATGTTGAATGCTTTAAGTTGATAAGTCCTACAGATAAAATGCGGGAAGAAAAACATAACATTCCTAGGTTAAAAACTGATTAAGTTATACCTCACTCAACAGCCTCTGTACTAAAACTAGATACAAATATCTTCTCTAGATCCTAAATTTGGTATTGAAAAGTCTCATTCTGTGTCTGAGTCTGCCCTGGCTGGAGCATGATTCTGCTTCTGGCAGGTTGCACACATAGATCTGAGCCATCTCAGCCTGAGGCAGATAACAGAGAAAGGAAGCCAGCAAGTTTTACTAATTGGTAAGTAGGAATTTATTCCTGTAAGCATTAAGAAGAGCACGTTTATAACTGACTACATGATGTCCAGGTCAAGGTGTAATATGCTTATGAGAATTCGAGTGACAGTTAATAACTGATTTTCTGTTTAAAATTAAGTGTAGTCAAACTAACAAGGGATTTGTAATAAAACTACATCACTGAAGTGATGGCTTAATTGACATTGATTTAGTGATTTCATAGCTCATCAGCTCCAGACTGATCTACATCACTGCTAATAAACGCCAAGGATCAGACTTGTAGCCAAACCTCATTTCCATTTCTCTTGTGAAGGAAAATAGTTTTACCCCAGCCGGTCACCTGGACGCCCCTTGAGTAACTCCACAAGAGAGATATTGAATTGCTGCTAGTAATCCACTGTGATGGTTACAGGACACAGTCCCTACAATATTCACTTCCCTTCTTCCTTCCCAAGAAACAGAAATGGTACAGCTGTAAGTACTACAATTAAAGGAGTCAACTTACATTGGAGCCTGATAATAAAACTGATGGGAAAGTAAATGAGAAAGACACAAGCAATAGTGAAAGTCAATTTTAGCCAAGTTGTATTTTAGGCAATAAAATCCCTTTTGGCACTGCTTGGATTTTTTTATGTAAGTGTCAAGACTAGAAATAACTACTTAAAAATAATAATAATGGATGTGTCATCTCAAATGAAAAAAATCATCACTAAAAAAAAAAAAGTCACAAGAAAATTACCCAATGCTGCAGGAAATTTCAGTAGGGTTTTCAAATCCATGGCTTTTACAGATTAGCAGTTCTCATGGCACTATTTCTCAGTTCAACACAGAACACCAAAGAACAAATTCTAATATAATTTATCATAGCATAAATCTAGCCTAACTCTATAGACCACATTTAACTTCGGGGTAACATAAAATATCTTGGGCTCAATACTGCTATGATTCCAGAACACAAAGAATTAGAAAACTAAATAAGTAAGTTATTTTATACATATTAAGGACAATTAAACATCTTGGGTTTACTGTCTGTGTTTTTTTGTTTTAATGATGTGTAGCTGTCATGGTTTAACTCTGGCTAG